AATATGGAATGATGTAAACATAAAGGTGTATATGATTTATATTTTATATTTTTCAGAGTAGCTTGCAACCTTGGGCTGCTGTGCTCTCAGTGTTTTGTCTCCCTGCTCCTGCCTGTTGGCGTCAGCTGATAGAGGTGTTATAGTGCTTTATCTTGTTATGCACAATGTTGATTATTCTCTCAGAACTAGCTAAACACATGGGTAAAGGTTCTACTTGAGCCCAATTTGAATACCATAAAGAAAGTATTAAAGCCAGCTCAAGCTAAATGTCAAATGTATTTCATTAATGTACAGTTGTTTTGATTTATTTTATTTGAGTTGTACATATTACAAAACGCGAAGTGTAATAACTGGCCTCCCTGTCACTGAGAATGACAAAGATCCTCAGCATTATTTCCTTAGCGCTTTAATGTTATAACTACCAAAACTCTAATTACATTTATGGCATTATATTATAATTGAACACAAAACTGTCTGCATGGACACGACTAGGGCTTGACCGTAAAATATGTATGTTCCTATGTTTACTTTATATGCATGAGGAATGATTATGTATATTTAATTGTACCAAGTGTTTGACTGTGCTGTTGTGATACTTCTCAATGCAGTGTGGCGATAAACCGATATGCAACCGAGAATGACTAAGGAGAAATTATAGACAGAGGATCGAGGAGAGCAGGCAAAGGAGGAGTGCTCATTAAAAAGTTGCATGGCTGCTATAACGAAGAGAGATGGAGAGAGAGGCAGAGGAGACAGGTAGACCATCAGAGACAAAGCTAACAAAGGACAGAGGCAAAATAGCTCGGTAGCAGGAATCAAAGAGTGGAGAAAGTTTGCATTGGAAATGGAAGAATAAGGTGAGGAGAAGAGGGGTAGAGAAGAGAGAGACATTAAATGGACAGCTCATGAGAGAGGTGGAAGGACTGGAGAAGACAGAGGGATTCCCCGATGGCATCTCATCTCACTCTCTTTCTTGCTCTCCTTCTCCTTATTTCCCTCCTTTTTTCTCCCAATAAATCATTCTGACTTCTCCTTAACCAACTCATTCCCAGCAGGCGGCGAGAAAACTGTAACAATCTTTCTCCTATCTGCTTTCTCTCTCTCTTTTTCTCCCCTCTTTTCTTATCTCTCTCTCTATCTCATCTCTCTCTCTCTATCTCTTTTGTGTCTTTCTCATGCACACACACACACACACACACACACACACACACACACACACACACACACACACACACACACACACACACACACACACACACACACACACACACACACACACACACACACACACACACACACACACACACACACACCGCAGTTTGTGGCAGTGGAGGTGACGCAAGTGACATGTCTCTCCAGGACACAGGAAATAAAAATTACAATATGAACCACATCACGTTTGCATGAAAACGTGGTTTAACTCTGATAGACTTTATGTGCCTCACAGAAACGTGGCAACAGCCAGAGGTTTACTGTGCCCTAAATGAAGCCTGTCCCCCTGGCTACAGCTACCTGGAAAAATCTCGCAGCACTGGTCGTGGTGGCGGATTAGGAATAATACACAGAAAATAACTGGAACTGTCCACCCTGCCTCTGCCTGTACTATCCTCATTTGAATGCCTCGGATTTAAATGTAAACCCCCCCTCTCACTGACAATACTTCTCATCTACCGGCCACCCAAACCCAACTCTGCCTTCATCCCAGAGATCCACGATCTTCTCAGTACACTCTGCGCTACCTCTGCCAACATTATAATACTAGGAGACATCAATATTCACGTTGACACCTCCTCCTATCACTATGCAGCTGAGTTCCTACACCTTCTGGACTGCCTCAACCTAACACAACATGTTGATGTCCCCACACACACTAGGGGACACACACTGGACCTTGTAATCACAAACTCTGCCCCCATTTGTAAACTATCAGTTTACGATCTAGGTGTGTCGGATCACAAGGCCATCTCAATGGAGCTGCCACTGCTGCTACCCCACACCAAACCCAAGCGTCAAATCCGTTTCAGAAATCTGAAAAACATCAACCCGGACACCATGACCTCGGATCTCCAGCATCTCTCCACAATAACTCCTACATCAGTAAATTAATCTGTGGATTTTTAAAATAAATCTCTGAGCAGTCTCCTGGATCTCCACGCCCCTGTCAAAACCAGAACAGTCACTTTCTCACGCTCAGCCCCCTGGTACACCTGCGAGCTGAGGAAAATGAAGACAGCGGGGCGTGTCCTTGAGCGGCGCTTCAAGGCTTCAGGCCTCTCTGTTCACAGACAGGCATACCGGGACCACCAAAATGCCTACGCAAAGTCCCTCAGAGACACACGGTCAAAATTCTACTCCGCCATCATCAACAATAGCCCTGGCAACTCCAAGCTACTTTTTTCCACCATAAACCATCTCCTCAAACCTCAGACTCTGCTACACAAAGACACCACAGAGGAGCAGTGTGATAATTTCATCACAATTTTCAAGAAAAAGGTAGAGACCATCCGCTCTCTCCTCTCAAATTCCGCTGCTCTGCTAGTCCTGACCGTCAACCCCCAGCCTGGACCGACCCAGCCTCTTTGCTGCTTCACTAACATCTCGCAGCATGAAGTTGAGGCCATCATCAAAAAGATGAAACCCTCCACCTGTGCCCTGGACCCCTTTCCCACAGCTTTGGTTAAATCGAACATTGGTGCCATAAGTCCGCTGATCACTTCAGTGATAAACCAGTCCATCCAGTCTGGTCATGTTCCACCACCATTAAAAGCTGCTGTCATCAAACCACTCCTCAAAAAACCCAATTTAGACCCTGAAGTCCTAGCCAATTACAGACCCATCTCCAACCTGCCATTCCTATCCAAGCTACTGGAGAAAGTAGTTGCCATTCAGATCCAGGAACATCTAACACTGAATAAACTCTTTGAAAAATTCCAGTCTGGTTTTCGCCAGGGCCACAGTACAGAAACTGCCTTAGTCAGGGTGACCAATGACCTGCTGATGACAGCTGACACCGGATCTCCATCTCTCCTCATCCTCCTGGATCTAACTGCAGCATTTGATACCGTCGACCATGACATCCTACTCCACCGTCTTCACACTACAATTGGACTCTCTGACTCTGCCTTAAACTGGTTCACCTCCTATCTCACCGGGAGGACTGAGCACGTCACCTTGGGAGCGGCTAAATCAAGAACTCACTCTGTGACTTGCGGTGTCCCCCAAGGATCAGTCCTCGGCCCCACCCTTTTCACCATATACATATCCCCCCTTGGTCGTGTCATCAGCCAGCATGGAATATCTTTCCATTGCTATGCTGATGACACACAGCTCTACATCAGAGCAAACCCAACCCCCTCTGCACCTCTGCCATCATCCACAATAACCACATGCCTGGAGGAGATAAAGGTGTGGATGAAGCACAACTTTGTTCATCCACCATCACCAGCATCACCTTCTCCGGTCAGAACATTCCACTCTCACCAACGGTTACCAATCTGGGAGTTAAAATGGATCCTCACCTGACCTTTGAGGCCCACATCAAGCAAATATGCAAGACCTCTTTCTACCACCTTAGAAATATTGCGAAACTCCGCCCCACACTCAGTCTGCCAGATGCTGAAAAGCTTGTCCACGCCTTTGTCTCCTCCAGACTGGACTACTGTAACGCACTTCTCATTGGGATTCCTAGCAAGAACATCCAGAAGCTGCAATACATCCAAAACACAGCTGCTAGGATCCTGATGAGAGTGCGGAAGTACGAACACATCACACCCATCCTCAAATCACTGCACTGGCTCCCGGTCTCACTCAGGATTGACTACAAAATCACCCTCTTCACTCATCAGTGCATATATGAAAATGCTCCCTCCTACATCAAGGAATTGCTCACCCCACAAACCTCCACGAGGAACCTACGTTCAGTAAAGGCAAACCTCCTCATCCCACCAAGGACAAAACTGAAGACCATGGGAGACCGAGCCTTCTGCTCCGCTGCTCCGAGACTGTGGAATGCCCTCCCAAACCAGCTGAGGACACCACAGACTGTGGAGGCGTTCAAAAAAGGCCTAAAAACGCATCTTTTTAGAATAGCCTTTAACTAGATTTTTAAATCCCCCACATTATGCCATGAATGTCACAGCTTTTATTATGTTGTTTTAATTGTTTTTAAATTGTTTTTATTGTTTTTGTTGTTTTGTTTCACCCTTTTTAATTTTGTAGCACTTTGAGTTTTGTTTACGCAAATGAAAAGTGCGCTTATAAATAAAATATATTATTATTATTTATTATTATATAACTTACTCTAAAAACTATTAAAAAACCTACAACATTACAGCTATTTTCTCTGCTAGGATTGTACATGATAATATGGCTGTATTAAACTGACTTACAGTGTCTTGTGGATCCAATGAGGCTGGTAGTGGAGAATCCTTGCGTGACATTATGGGTGTTTTTAGCCTTTGGTGATACAAATGAAAAAGCATGTGTGTGTGGCTGGGGAGGAGGGGGTGTTATGTGAGGAAACAGTCTGCAGATTGTGGCTGCAGACGTGTCTGACAGAGGGGGGGGGGGGGGGGGATTTCAAAGCCTTTTCTTTTAGACCGGCAATGGAGGTCGAATAGTTGAGAAAAAAAACTTCAAGTCGCAGTGATGCCTGATGTGCTGCGACTCGGCCACAATATTGGAGTAATGCGCTTTTGTCGCTCACAGGGGGTGGAGTTAGAAAGTGAACGAGCGCTGCCTACCAAACAGAGAGGGGAGAAGGAGGAGAGAGAGAGAGAAAGGGGAGAGACGGGTGGGCAGGCTGCTCACCGTAAACGATGGTTGTCGGATAGAGTCTTGAAGACCTAATGAAACTGGCTGAATTGTTAGCAGCGATTAAAGAGCTCCGCGTGCTTTGCATCTCTCGGATCCTTCGAAGGAGAAACTGCAGCAGCACGCAGATAAACAACATTTAAAAAAAGAAGAGGACTTTAATTTTTTTCTCCTCATTTTTTCTGCAGTAAGCCTTTTCACGGCAGCAGCAACTCTTTCCCAGCGGACAGGACCGTTTCATGCCAGGTGGAAGACCGACCTCTCTCTTGGACCCCATACCGGCCTCACACTATCCTCTGGCGGGCTCAGAAGCAGCAGTTCCTGGTGAGAAGAGGGGACCAGGCAAAGCTCAGTCTTTAGGGGGACCCGCTTACAAGGACTCCCACAAACCCCCCTTGTTTGAAACCCCAGGATTTGTTGGGAAAGGGAGGGGGTTCGCAGTTAGGTTTAAGGGGGAGGGTCCTTATTCACTTTACTCCACAATAGACTTTTACAACAGTTATTAACCAGAGTTGTATAGTCTTTGAACGTATCCGTTTCTTTGCATGCATGAAGCTTTTGTTTTCCCCCTCTCCCGTCTGTTAGGCATTTGCTGGGATGTTTGAGTCGCGTTGTTTGGTGGGGTGAAGGGACCGAGAGAGTGGCCGAAAGACCGAAGGGACGGAGGCGAGAGAGGAGCCGGGAGCATGGCTCTGATAGTGCTGTCTCTCTGGGTGCTAACGAGTCTCACCTGGGCGGAGGTGATCCCGGTGCCAGCCAACAGGCACTCCGTTTACTGGAACAGCTCCAACATACAGTAAGACCCCCTCTCATTGTGCATATCTGTGTGTGTGTGGCTCGATGCATATCTCTTTTGATCCATTATCCACCTGTTAAAGGGGGGAAAACATTTCCTGATATGCACCCCCTGTGCTGTCAGGTTCACACATTCACATTTTCAGTTCTGCAGTGTTTTTGATTGTGCCCTTCTAAGTATTTAGGATGGTTGTAAAATCCACTTTCTTCATTTGTATTTTTTTGTAAAGCAAACGTTTTTAAAAAAAAAAGCAATTTAATAGGCCTGTCATGTTTCTCCTGTTTGGCGAGGCTATTTTTGAGCCTCAAAGTGCTCTGTCAGACCCCTACTGTGAAGTCAAGGTGGCTCCAAACCAGCTTTTTCAACATTTCAAATTGCTCAACTACTCAGACATATTTAGTTTACTCAGCCTAGCATCAATCTATGCATATCTTTCTATTTATTTAATCACTTTCCTCATATTGCCCACCCTTCTCATATACCCTTAACCATGCATGGCCGAGGAGGAGTATAAAGATTATCTTTCCTTCCTCTCCTCTTCATCATGTGGCTCTCCTCTCTCAGGCTTTCAGGGCTCTTTCTCTGTCTTCTCCTCTATCTGGTTCAATTAGGAGCACTTCTTCATCCTGACCCCATTGTGTTGTAGCAGTGTCACTATTCAATCTCTCCTTCTCGCTCCCTCTTCAACTTGCTCTCTTCTTCTAGCTGTCTCTAACCCCTTTTCTTGTTTACACTCAGTCCGTTGGCCTTTTTGTTATCCTCCTAATCCCTCGCTCTTCGCCTTTATCTCGATTCAAGTCGAAACGCTTTTTTTCTCCTCATTCTCCTTTTTTTCTGAAAGCTGCCTTTTTAATACTGTCCTCCTGAGTCCATGGCTCTGCTGCTGGATCCTAGCGTCAGTCTGCTGCAACACACTCTAGGCTTATCTTTCGTCTTACAATCCACAGTCAAATCTTGTAAGTTTATGTTTAATTAGCATTTCCACATGTCTCAAACTGTACATCCACGTTTCTTCTCCTCTGCCCAAATTATGCAGATCAAATTGTGTTAATTTACAACTGCATGCCAGATTTCACATTAAATATTGGTGAATTTTCAAGACTTCCGTTTAATGAGCAATTAAGCTAGCTGTGTAATGTAATGCATCTTTATTTTCTCAATCACTTTGCAAAATAATGCAACAATCAACCAGCATTTTAGGTCTAGGAGGTGCACGAGAGCGCATGTCACACACTAACACACACCTTCCCTTTTGCTCTCCATCTTATAGTGAATCCTGTCTATGTGTAAGCTATGTTTCGGCTAGCAGGCAGCCCTTATAACATCTCAGTTTGCGGTATTTACGTCTTCAGCTGAATTTACTTGGCCCCTAGACGGGCAGCCAGATATACAGCAACTCATATTTTACGACTGCACTTATTAAAGACGTAAACAAAATGAAATCTCAGAAAATACACTGTTGTTTTAGCAGGAGGATCGATGATTCTGTCCGCCGACAATAACTGTAGGCTGATGACTTTAGTTTACAGCATGAAATAAAACTGTGAGAGGCAAGTGAATTTATAACATAATTACTTAACATGAAGTATTGCCCCAAGTAATTGGAGCGGAAAACACAAGGTTATTGGTCGTGGTACAATACTGTAAACAGTATTAGTTTTCCTGAATGTGTAAAAAAAAAAATTCCGCCATATTTTAGAAAAACTAACATCGTGTGCATATTTTCGCTGTTAATGCATTATAGCTGATATTTTTCTCTCAATGTGGGAAGTGTTCCTTTTCAATTTATATACAGTACTCTTTTTTTCCTCTGTAACAATTTGATAATAAATGCAAATGAAATTCCACCTTCGGTTTCCATATCAGAGACAGAAGTTGATTTAGATAACATGTGGAAGAAACGCTTCAAGGCATGGAGGAGAAGGGAATAAGTGAACCCGGGACCTCGGTACAATCAGCTCAACGTAACATGAGCAGCTTTGACCTTGGTCAAATGTATACTTAATTAAGTAATTTGTCAGCTGCTTTTTGCTGTATGCTGCTCAGACTGTAAAGTAGAAAAAAGGCTGCAGATGATTTTTCTGACAATGCAGTGGGAGAAGTAGGCAGTCTGGGGCAGCCTAACCTTTAACCTAACTGTCTAGCACCTGAGTGCTGCAGAGCCCCGCAGTCTCTCCTCTCTCTTGCTCCACACGTTCATTGCCAATACGCTTTCAATCCCAGCGGCAGAATATTCTCAGCCCCTGCAGTGTGAGTCTTGGTGTGTGTGTCTTTTATACAAGGCTGTGGTTAATTAAAGAACACTGCATCTCCGTGGACCTGCCTCATCCCTGATCTTCCCATCTCTCCCTCTCTTTGTCTTCCTCAGTGCACACATACACAATGACAATATATGAGCAGTGAATGCGGATAACATTTTCAATTCAGCTCACTTATTAAATTAGGAGACACGGCACAGTGACAAACAAAAGGCAGATAAAGTGTACGATAACCTGTGTAATCTGCTCATGCATACACTTCCTGGACATTTTTTAACCGTACAGATCCTATTTCCAACCTTTATTTTCATCTCTGCAGTCACACATCCCACATTTGTAGGGTTTACTGGCACGTCTCTAGCCGTTGGCAATCAGCCTCTCTGGAGTTTCTCTAACTCACAATGCAGTGTAGAGGTTTAGAAGGCCAATAATAAGCTGTAGTATAGCTGTCAGTTTGAGTGGTAAACACATTGTAAAGCCTCAGGACCCTGCAGTTTCTCAACCAGCTTCCGACCCCGAGCCACTCATCAACCACCAGAGACAGGCTGGGACTGTTACCAAGGATTAACTGCTTCACACACACTCGCAAAGATCAGCATGTGTGCTTATTACTGGACATTTGCATATGTATCTATGATGTTCCGAGTACACAAAAAACACATCTCCCCGCTGTGTACTTTTTTAACTTTAAGAAGGATAATTTCCCACGTTTGCATCCTTCACAATGGCTGTTGCCTTTGCCTATCAGTCAATTGTCACCAACATCCCTGGGCATGAGTGTGCGTGTAACAGTGTGGGTTTTTGTGTGTGTGAGATCTCCGCGTGTGTGTTTACCCTGTTACAGATGTCTCTGTTCATCGATGGGTGACTGAAACAAAAACAAATCCATCAGTCCGTTAAATCACACATTATCTTCCACCACCTGGCAATTAACCACCGCTGTGAGTGTGCGTGCGTATATATGTTTAATCTAATAAGGCAGCAGTTAACTGGTTTGCATAATGGATATCTGGTGATATCTCTTAATTTATCAGTTGTATTTTCGGAAAGCGGTTAAGTTGCAAATAAACACAGGCATAAGCATTTCTAGTCAGCAGTTTGTGTGTATCATTGACACTGTCACCTCAACGCATGCCACTGGAATGAGGCCAGCTATGGCAAGCAGAATTTGCTTCTCATAAAAATGCACATGCATGTGTGGTAATCGATGCTGATGTGGAACTTGTTTTATATTCATCCGGCTCTTCAGAGTGTGCAGAGACACGTCACGCAGGGCAGGAGAGAAATAATGCACGAATATATGAGAAGAGGTGAGAGAGAAATGCAATGGGACTGAAAAGGGGAGAGAGCAAGTCAGGAAAAACACAAACAGACTTTGTGTAGAACTATAATAGAGCGGGGGGAGGAGGGTCATCATGATAATAATGCTTGGCCAGGGCCCTGATCCACACACTGAGTTCTCACATTAGACATCATAAGACAGGTGGAGTTTATGTGTGTGTGCCTGACAGAGAAAAGGGAAACACAGACAAGAGGATTAAGCAGACCAATCAACCAACCCCTCGACAGCAACACAAAACTATCTGTCTCCCAGCCTCACTTAGGACAACAACATTTACATTTATGAATATCTGCACAAAGGAGAGTATTACTCACTCACTATCACAAGGCGCACGGCCCGCCTGTGCATGTGTGTGTGTGTATACGTGTGTACAACTAATCCATCATAGGCGTTCGCTCCATCGCTACATGTCAGCCACCGCTGTGATGTGTTTTTGTGCACATGCACCCACACATAAAAAAACCTCAGACACAGCCTCAGTGATCATAATAAGAGTTTTATAGAAACAGCTATCAGGTTGTTCATTAGTAACACATAATAAGGCCACATGGTGTAAGAGTGAATGGATTCCAGCTTTTGTGTGTGTGTGTGTGTGTGTGTGTGTGTGTGTGTGTGTGTGTGTGTGTGTGTGTGTGTGTGTGTGTGTGTGTGTGTGTGTGTGTGTGTGTGTGTGTGTGTGTGTGTGTGTGTGTGTGTGTGTGTGTGTGTGTGTGTGTGTGTGTGTGTGTGTGTGTGTGTGTGTGTGTGTGTGTGTGTGTGTGTCATGCAGACGCTTGCATAGAGACGTCATTAATTAAAAGCAATAGGAAACACCTGTGTGATTGATGACTACTGTTTGCATAATAAGATCCAGTGGTCTCTCTTTCACTCTCTCTCTCTCTCTTTATGTGCATGTGTTGTTAATACATTTTCCTGATTGGACAGGTGTGGTATGTGAGCCGAGACATGTACAAAAAAGAAGGAAAATAAAACAAATTAATTCTTATCCTTTATTTCTTTTTCCTCTTAGGAGATGAGCTAGATTCAGTAGAGTGCTCCCCCCTCTCTCTTCTTCTCTCCTCCAAGTGTCTAATGGTAAAGCACTCCTGGGGTGTTGGTATTTTGGGAGCTATGTGGTTTAATGTGAACGTTGTGAGACTCTTTCTCTGTCAAATTAACTTGGACTAAATCTTTCCAGTGAATAGAATTTGTTGTCTGTTTCCTCTTTTCTTTTCCTCATCCACACTTTCATTGTATTCCCTTCTTTCCACTGTTCTTCTCTCCTCTTTGAGATTTTGACGAAAGCCACCTCAAACACAACTCCGTGCAGATCTTATGAATTTACACATACTCTTACATTGATCTTGGGAAAAATACATGCCTATAATATCGAGCCCACCCCAATTTTTTCCACCTATTCT